AAAGTTTGATTATTCAGATTTTGATTGTATAGTGTTTGATGAGATTTATATGTCCAGTCCTTACATATTGAACAAAATAAGGGTGTTTGCAAATAACAATCCTGACATCGTAATTATAGGTGCCGGTGATGTCAAGCAACTGCCACCGATTGAACCTTTCACTAATACTCAAAACGCAGGCGAATACATTGACAAATGTATTGACATTATTTTTAAATATAATATATTTTTAAAGATATGTAAGCGAGTAGGTGGTAAGGATACAGAAGAAGGAGAAAGAAACAGAAAGAAACTGAATGAAATCTATGATGACTTTTGGATTAAAAAGATGGCAGTTGAAGAATGGATAGTTAAGCATTTCAAATTTACTAAAGATGTTATGAATAGTGAAAACAACATAGCATATACAAATATTAGATGTGAGGCAGTATCCAATGAGATTAGAAAAAGATTAGGTAAAACATGCAAATATGAAATTGGAGAAATCTTAATATGCAGACTTTACAAAAAGGACAAGGAAGGAAAACTGAATGTTAATATTAGGTGGAAGGTTGTTAATAACGAAGGATACAAGATAACAATACAAGATATCAAGGATGCAGAGAACATTAGAACACTTGACATTGATATTGTAGATAAGCATTTTAGATATGCCTACTGTGCTACCACTCATAGCAGACAGGGGACATCAATCAGTGATAATATGACCATTCACGAATGGAACAAAGATTATTTAGTTTGTAGGGAATGGCTGTGGTGCAGTATCACTCGGTGCCGTGATTTTAACAATGTCTATTTCTTCAAAAACAAGGAATGCGAAGAAGATATGTTCAAGAGTTTGGTAATCAACTATTTTAAAAACAAAGTTGAAGGATATAAACAGCAAGATAGGCGTAATCAGTTAGAAATTGATGAAGAAAATTATATTGATGAAAACTGGTGTTTAACATATCTGAAATCCTGTTGTCAGCACTGCGGAATTAAGTTTAACATTGAAACAAAACAAGGAAGAATAAGTTCTAACTTCACCGCTCAACGTGTAGATGGAAGTGTTAGTCATTGTGTTGAAAATTGTGAGGCGTGGTGTGTGTATTGTAATTGTAGTGCAAGTTAAAAGGTTTAAGGAAATAATTGTATAGGTAAATAGTGGTATGAATAGGTATGAAAAGGGCAAAATTTACAAAATAACAGATATTGGTTATAACAAAATGTATATAGGGAGCACGGTTGAAAGTTTGAAAAAAAGGTTTGAAAGACATAGAAGCAAATATAGTAGAGAATTTGTAGAAGGAAAAGGCGACAATACTCGTGTATATTGGTTATTTGATGAGTTTGGAGTGGAAAATTGCAAAATTAAACTCATTGAGAACTACCCGTGTAGTAGCAAAGAAGAACTGGAGCAACGAGAAGGGCACCATCAGCAGAAGAATGACTGTATCAACAAAAAAATAGCAGGTAGAACAAGACAACAACACTACAGAGATGATAATGATTACATTTGCTTCCGGCAAAAAGTATATAGAGAATTACACCCAGAGAAGAGGCAGGAAGAAGCACGAAGACGATATGAAAAAGTTAAACATATTATGAATGAAAAACATTTATGTGAATGCGGAAAATATTTTACCTACTCACACAAGAAGAGACACAACAAATGCAAGAAACATCAAGAATGGTTGAAGAAACAAGAACCTGAAATAGAACCACAGTTAGAAGAATTAGATTAAGATAATTTCTTGTTTATTTATATGACGACTAAACAAGAAATTATAGCAAATGTGTATTATGATAAATCAGGGTATGGCAGTAAAGCGCTTACTTTACAGGATGCTAAGAAAAAAGACCCAACAATTAAAATGGATGATATAAATGAATTCTTTAGTAAAAACATTGAAGAGAAAAGAAAAATGAGAGGTGAAAATAGTTTTATTGCTCCGCATAGTTTCTGGGAATTTCAAGTTGATATGTTTTTCATTTCTAAAAATGATTTGGAAAATCAAACATTTAAAATTGGTATGATATGCATTGATATATTTAGCAAATATATGCATATCGTGCCAATTAAATCCAAGACACCGCCAGACATTTTAGCAGGGTTGATGGAGAACCTAAATAAAATGGGCGGGAAGTGTAAATTAATTTATACCGACGAGGAAGGCAGTTTTTTTAATCAATCAGTATTAGATTATTTGAAGGAGGAGAAAATTGAATTACATAGAACTAGAGGTCATCCAGCATTTGCGGAGCGTGGAATTCAGACTTTTAAAGATCAACTGTTTAAACGAGTTGAAGCGGACAAGAAAAATGGAAAGCAGAATATCCAATGGACGGATTATATTTTTGAAATATTATTAACTTACAATAATAAGAATATTCATTCCGCAACTAAATTTACACCGAAGGACGCAAGAATGAAAAAGAATGAATTTGAAGTAAAAATGAATATTACAATGCAAGCAAGAAATACTAGAAAATACCCTGAGTTGTCAGTGGGTAGTAATGTAAAAATAATGAGGAAGAAAGGCATAAGCGAAAAGGCACATACCAGTCATTGGTTAAAAGAAGTATTTAAAGTAAAATCAATTGATAGTAAATTAGGGCAATCTTACTTTCATTTGGAAGGAAAAACTAGTCCTTATTTGAGACACGAATTATTGAAAGTTTAATATTAAACGAAATACAGTTAAAGAAAAAACGCCTTATATTATTAGTGAAATGTTATTTAATTATTCAAATTGCGAATGTTGTACAACTAAAAGGAATGATGTTAATATAACATTGTATAAGTTATTACCTGCTAATCTATGTAATAAAATAAGTGAATATAATGTATACTGCAATCAATGCTGTATAACAAGAGACCTTGAAAAGTTTTTTCTTGAAGAACATAAGGACAAGGGATATACAAAGTTTCAATTACAGTTAAAATTCTTTATGCGACACCAAGCAAGATTTCCTATACACTTTTACCAGAAGATTTCCAGAAAGTCATATGAAAATGAAATTGATGAATTCTTTAGTAATATAGATTTAATTAGGAGGTTTGGAGGAATAAACGCAATTAAACCATACAAAGCATTTGTCAAAAAATACCGTTATTTGTTTGAATGGATTGACTGGCATTTATTAGACAAAGATAAAATAAACGAAGTCTTGAACGAATTTAGAGCAACTAAATATAGTATATGGTATTACTACAACACTAAATATAAAGTATGTCTATTGTTGTATTTATTCTTTTGGGAATATATTTATTCAATAATAGGAAAAAACAATATCAAATATATATACATTGGTGATATAGATAAATATGTAGATTACATATTTGAAGACATATTGCCTGACCATTATTTTAATCCATAAACCTTACAATAAAAAACATTGTAAGATTTATGATTTCAAAATGACTTGAAGAAATAATAACTTAATATATTATAGTAAAATGAGTGATACAGTCGGTATCAATGCTAAAAATATATTGAAAGACAAATTTATGAGTTATAAATGCGATGACTGTGAAATGCTAAAATTACCAATTGAACGGGGTTTTGCAAATGGTGTTTGTAATAATATTTGTCAATATATAATATGCAATAATTGCAATAGAATTATAAAAGCAATTGATGATATGAATAACAAGGATATTGATATTATAAATAATGAAACTATTGATGATGATTTAGAAATATTTGTATTTATTGAAATGAATAATTTCTTAACTATAGAAGGATTTGATAATTTATTAGAATGTAACGACGAAGGATATAATAATGATTTTATTTTTAAGTATTATAGTATTGTAAAACAATTATACAATATGTCTTTTAATATTAAACGTTTAAAATATGTTGTATTGTTTGATTTTTTAAATGAGTTTTTAAATGATGAGTATAAAACTCACGAACTTAGATATACAATAAAACGTGCGATTGGAATAATGGGAATGTTTAGAAAACAAATAAAAAATAATTTTTATAATGAAACAACATGTGACAAAATAATAGAAAGAATTAAATTAATAATTTAGTTTTAGGCGAAATAGTCCTAAAGAAAAAACACCTTATATTAATAGTGAAGAAATGAACGGTATTGAAATCAATAAGTATATTAATAAGAAATGCTACGACTGTTGCCACTTTAAAAAAGAAAATATGGAATTGTATAAATTAAATTTACCTAATGGAATAATAAATAATATTATTGATTATGCTTTGGGTGAAGAAGATTTATGCGAAAATTGTAAAACCTGGAGAGATAACCAAGCTATAATCAAATGTTTGTTGAGATTAAAAGGAAGACATAATAGAAATGTAGAAGATGACATTTTGATATTTTTAACTGTGTATAAATTACCACCTTACGTTTATGTTAAACAGTTTCTTAAAATCAGTAAGAAAAAATATGAAATGATTTATGATATATTAAGGATGTTGTGTCATAGTCAAAAGAAAGGAGATGATATTAAAGAATATATCAAGTTTTATATTGAAATTTATAAAAAGTTTAATGTTAAAAACACAGTGAGAGATATTAATATTATTTTTAAAATGATGTATGAAATAAATGAGATTTGTCAATTAAATTATTATCCTGAACTTAAATTATAAATTACACCATAAACCTTACAATAAAAAACATTGTAAGATTTATGTTTTGAAATTATGGGGATTTTGGGATTTGGGATTTTGGAAAAATATATTTTGGGAATTTGGGATTTTGGGAAAATATATTTTGGGAATTTAGAAAAATATTTACAAAATTTATGTATCAAATCTTGAGTTGAGGTTCTGTTATGAAATGATGAAAAAATATTATGTGAATTGGTCGGTTGAGGGGATTTTATCTAACTGGGGCCTGGCCTTTGGTAGGTCTAACCCCCCCCTAACCCCCCCCTAACCCCCCCTAACCCCCCCAAACCCCCCCCACCCACCTCCCCACTCACCCAACGCCTTGAGATGCCTTGAGCACCCCCCCCGTCTGACTCACCGCATCGCCTCGAGGCCATCACAGGCCTGGAGGGCGCGGGGGAGCCCAACCTGGCGGCGAAGCTCAGCGGCTGAGCTGCGGCCGCGCTTTCGCCCCACTGGTTGATGTAAGCCGGAAGCCAACAGAAAAAATGGGCAAGTGGTTTGTTGTATTCAGCCGGACCTTCTGTTTAGAAGCCAAGGAGGGTGAGCTTTAGATTTGTTCTTTTCTGACATGTGTGTGTGTGTGTGTCAATGAGATCAGGAGTGGCATTTCCCTTGAGTGATAAGATAGGAAATATCCGATGAAGCAGGTAATTGCCTTCAAGGAAGTCTGGGAACCAGCAGATGATGTTGATTATTGCTCCTAGTCAGCGTAAAGTTGAGCGTTGCTTCAATGGAAGCGACCGTTTTGGCCTGGGAAGGCTTGTACAGGCAGGTCCGCCTAAGGTGGCCAGCATGACTGGGTTCTTCAAATTTCATGCAGATCGATGATCCCCGGTATCCCCCTTCTCCCATTTTTGCGGTAAATAAGAACTGTATAGTTCGTGGGTGCTCAAAATCAAGCCGGAAGATCTTTATGCCAGATGGTTGTTTCCTTTGTACTGGTGTCCCGCGGATTGCCGCTTAGGAAACCGGGATCCCCGATTTTGAACAACCCAGATTGACGCTTAAAGTGGGCAAGAGCATCACAATTCTGGCACATTGGACGCGCGCTCGATGCATTGTCATTTTCTCGTCCACAGCTTCCATCGCTGCCTATGGCAACATCAGCTTGTCACAAAACATGGTCTTTGTGCAGTAAGGAAGTGTCCATCAAAGTCAGGCAGCGTGTCCCAAAGGGACTAGGTGTGTGGACGCTGATGATCCAACGTGGCTCGGTCAGCGATGCGCAGGTCATGCTCAAAAGGATTGGAGCTTCGCAGCGTTCACAACACCACCCGCTACAAATTCGAGCGGTCTGCACACGTTGTCATGCGGCATGCCCGGACTCCTGATTTCCGAGTATACAGTATATGTGGTTTGGGCACGCACAAGTAGACAATGACGTTTCAGCCCTGTCAATCACCGATCCCCAGCCCTTGATCCATGTATCTGGAGTGGGGAGCCAACATGAGGGGCCTCGGCATACACTTCCCTTGGTTTCCCTTGATGAATTAGCAGCCAATGTATATTCACGAGTAGCCGACTCCGGGATTTCAGAGCCGAAGGCCGTTGATTCGCTAGGTGCGTATGCGGAGACCTGATTATGAGCACGACGCGGGCTGGCTGGAGAGCCAGGCCGGGGATGTTGTTTTGGGTCAAACTCATCCGCAAGATCGATTCTGCCAGCTAGGTCCCCTTTCTCACCCCTTTTTTGGGGGGAGGGTTCCCCTACTAAAATAGACTACAGACAACAAGGGTACCCTTATTCGATCCTCTCTACTGGAGGACCTAGCCAGGTGTCCCCAACAACCCCTGAAACCTTCCAAGTTGCCTTCGGCCACCCACTTCAAACTGCGCAGCCTATTTGGGCAGAGATAGCTTTCGGCTGGTGGGGAATGAAGGTGGCCTTTCTTTGTACAATTCCCATCGTCTCCCATTTTTAGGTAATTGAACACAATGTATAGATCAGGGGTGTCCAGAATCTAAACGGAAGATCCGTGTCCCACGGATTTCCGCTTAGGACAAAGCGGGAGGCAACCCAGTTTGATGTGCCCCTGCAGGCTGTGGCCATGTTCTAGTGTTGGTTCCGTGTTTGACAATTCTGGAAATTGTGTCAACAGCTCAATTGCTTTGCTTACCCAGAATTCACGGCCTGATGGTTGGTGTGTCCACTTTGAAGCACAATGCGAGAGGCCACCCCCCCCAGAAGCTAAGCAGCGCGCTTGGTTGTAGCTCGTATGCAAAAACGAGGTTCGGATTTGGCAGAGACTTAGGACTGATCCGGCGCCGACCCGCAACAGTTGTTTGTCATTTGGCGTGATCGCTGATCGAATTGTCTTTTCTAAGATGGTTTACAGACTCGCCATCCCCAGGGATTCAGGGGGATACACAAGCACTACACACGGATATCCCAAGGTGTGTAGCATATTCGCCTTGTGCACAAAAACTGCTTTTTCAGTCTGGGGAAACTGTTTTTTTGCAAGGTTAACATGTTCGACCGATTTTTGTTCCACGGCGATTTTGCCAATCAAGCGGCCTTTTTTGACAATCGAGCGACGTGTTTGGCCGCTCACAGAAGTTTGAATATGCACGAATTGCTCCGACGGCTTTTTTTGGGACCAACCACTTTGTTTTTCAGCGAGGGCGAACGCTGGTGCAATGTCAATCAGCCTCAGCCTTTCAGCACTCCTGGGCTTTCCAGGTACCGGTTGCCCTTGGTCAGCCCCACAGCCTCACAGCAAGCCTGCACTTTCCAAGAAACGTATTTCACTGGGGTGTGGCTCAAAAATAAGGCCAGGGGAGGGGTACCCCACTTTAAAGCTGGAGCCAATTTTGGGAGCGCCTTGAGGCGAGGAATTGGGCGAAGGTTGCATCGTAGATGGTCTTGAAGGAAAGGTACCCTTGAATGTGCCAAGCATGCTATGAGGGCCTAAGTGAAGATTTTGAGGGGTTCTCAACTTGAGGTTTGAGTCCCGGATTTTCCCTTGAGCCATCCTTTCTGGTGTTTCCTCAAAATAATCGAACCCAATATTACTCGGCAGGTGTGTTAAACCCGGAGACACGCTGTCCTCGGTACAGCCTTGGCAGGTGAAGAGGACGTTGCCCCCGGTGACGGTACGGAGGCCACGCCGCCGAAAGACGGCAAGAAATGAGGAACCATTCGGCGGGTCAACAGCGTCGCAAGCTGCTTGGGAAATGTGGGACCCTGGTGTTTTTGTTCTTAGGTATGGTTGGGTTAAAGGACAAAAGGGAAACATTACCAATTTTCGAGGGGCCCCCCTATTCGCTGGGGTCTCTCTTGCAAAACGGCGCTATCTTTTCAGGATGGCTTTTTTTGACACAGAATCGACAGATCTAGGGGTTGATACCCCATTCTGTTCAACCATCGTTCTGTTCAAGAACCAGCTGTTTCCCTAAGGTGTTGGGTGGCTTTGTAGAAAGAGGGATCCCTGGAAAGAAAGGAATTGGAAGGTACCCCTAGAACAGACGAAACGGGCCAAGTGTTTTGGAGTCTCGCCAGGGCCAATGGCCACGCCCCCCACAGCTTCGACCTTTGCAACCTCCTGGATGACAGCATCCTGGCGGAGGAGTGACATTGGCAACAGTTCTAGTGCTACCTTCCCTATTCTGGATGAATTATAACGACCTCACACGACCTCACCCGAAATGGTGGTTTATGTGGGGACTATCCCTCCAACCACCTTATTTCAGGCTGGTGAACTATTATAATTCACCCCATTCTTTCCAGGGGTCCTTCTTTCTAGAAAACCCAGGGAAACGGCAGGTTTTCGAAAAGAACGATGTTGGAAAGAACGGGGAATCAACCCTTAGAACAGTCTTTGGCAGACACTTATTCCCTTGACGCACGCTCAAAAGCAGCCCCTTCCACATTTCCAGCAGAGTGTCGAACTGACCGCGTGAACGTGGTATCAGGAACCCCCAACAGCTATCAAATGATGAGGTGACCTTCGGTAGGAGCTGTTTTGGGGGCCTATTCACAGTTGGCGGGACCTGGTAGTCTGTTGCCAGTTTGGAGAGGACAAGGAAAAAAGTAATTGCCTTCCGGGGTACGTGCCCCAAAACATAGCTGGAGCCTCAAATAGGGAATAAATCTTTGCTTGTTGCAGTTGTTCTGCTTACGTGTTTGGGGAACTCCCAGAACATGCCGCAGAAGTGCAACTCGTGATGTTTCAACCTGCCCTGGAAAGGTGTTGTGCATGGTGCAGGGACATCAGCAGGAAATACGCGGAAAGTCTGCAGGAAATACGCAGTCATCTACGGAAGTACGCGGAAAATCCGCGGAACCGCCAAAACCCGAGTCCACGCTGGGCATTTGGGTACCATCACGAAGAGGCACGATTGGAAACAAGTTTTGTCGACTTGTTTCAGAAAAATGTGGGACATTGTTCCTCAGGAGTATCCAGGTATGCCTTGAGGAGTGAGCCGCGTTGTTCATTGCACGCTAGTTCTTTAGTTCTTTAGGAGCCCCTGTTTAGCCTAAGTGAATCTATCGTCCTGACCCTTTCATCCTCTCAATCCCAATGTGGAAGTTGGTATCCCCTACTTAAAGATAATACATGGTTGTGGCCCCGGCACGTACTCGTGGGCACATAGCTAGTGATTCCCCTCGAATTTGAGTGTCCAAAGACTGCCAAAGACTCGTGGTAGAGCAGGATGACAACTTGTGTCAGGCAGCCAGGATCGATTCACATGACTTGTGTTCTGTTATTACAGCTCTTTGAATGGAAGTGGATACGTGTTTTATTGGACTGAACCCTTGGGCTGACACCATGTACATGGGGTTTTTGGGGTTCCACCCAACACAAGTCACAGACACAGTAGGCTTGTCTGTGTGAAAGAGGCCTCGCTTGCTTCTCAAAGGAACAACGGAAACCCGGCAGTGTGAAGTAAAAGCTTCACGGGGAAACCACCAGTTTGTTTTTGGAGGTACTTTGTTGCAACGACCTAGTTTGATCCATCCAAGCGCTGTCCTTTTCTTCCAACGTGTACATTCACCAACAAATCAAAGTGTACAGACGCCGTTTAGGCTTTTTTTAAGCGACCAACTGATTCTTTCTGGAGGTCAATCGGTTCAGGGTTGAACGTCGAAGAGCAAGGTTACTATATTTCCCCTTGTAGTTGAACTTGTTTTTGCCAAGCTGGCCAAGTAACCACCCCTATTTTGGGAAGTCAGTCCTATTTTTGGAAAATCTACTTTTGAGGGAGCCACCTATTTTGTTCCACTCTTGTATTTTTGGGAATGACTGGACCCCACTAGTTCAAACAAACGTATTGTTTGGTTCTTATCAGTGGAGCCACCCCGGTGTTTAAACTGTACGGACTTATCCGAAGTTAACGTGATACACCAATCATGTGAGCACCCATTCGTAAATACTGGCCTTTTCTCACTAACAGGTCAGGAGCTTCATTTTTTTGTCGGGACTTCCCCA